CCTAACATGCATGTTTTTGGTCTGTGGGAGGAAACCGGAGTACCCGGAGAAAACCCACACATGCACGGAGAGAACATGCAAACTCCACCCAGAAAAGCTCCCAGACGGGAATTGATCTGGCGACCTTCTTGCTGAGAGGCTTCAGCTCTACTAAGTGAACCAATGGGCAAAAAACAGAACCTCGTAAAAATTGTATGATTTAATTTGATATTGTTTATAGCTTTCTCTGAAATGTGACAGCCGTAGACAAATTGTTAGAAACTACTCCATTGTTGTTTTGGTTTCCAGAGCAGGAAGTGGACACGAAAACAGACGTCATTGTTCCTGAAGAGCTCTGTATTCGCTGTCAACATGAAGACACGTTAAAGTACGTTTTCATAAATTTCTACTTTGTAAAAAAAAAAAAAAACTTTTCTGCTTGTCTCACCAAATGCTGGGTCCAAGGTGTAGAGGGAGGGCCGCCGATTTGGGACCAGAAAGTTACGGTTCGACTCCCAGCCGGTCCCACATGTCGTGGTGTCTCTGAGTAAGACATCTAATCCCTAATTGCTCCCTGGGCACTTACATAGCTGCCCACTGCTCCACCTGGGTGCATATCAGGTGTGATGGGTTAAAAGCAGAGAACTAATTTCATCATTGTATAGAAACATACAATGATGACAACACATAGCATTTTTGCTAAATCTGAACAAATAATTGCATTTGCAATAATATCGCATTATGATAAAACGAGATTAATCGAAAAGGCTGCAATTTCACTGGTCATGTGATCTGGTTACATGACTTGCGAGTGACCAGAGCAAAGCAGAGCAGGTAGCAGGAAAAGTCAACACTGCGCTTTAACCAGTTGCACGGTTGGCGTCGGGCTCAACAAAAACTGACACATCTGAAAGTTTGGTACCAAAGAGCGGCAGCACGTTCGTTGTTTGGATTTATTTTGGCTATAAAAAAGAAGACGCTGCGCAACGACATGTATTGTGTAGAACCTGCCTCGCTGCTGTTGCTACCTCTCGAGGTAACACCACAAATCTTTATCAACCCTTAAAACAACACCACAAATCCATTTACAATAGTTACATGGCTAGAACGCCAACGACCAGTGATTCAACTTCAAGTAAGCAAAGTACCAATGACAGGGATCACTGACCGAACTGTTCCAAGGTATTACTCCATATGAACATAATTTAAAACAGCACTCGGAAATAACTCGAGCAGTAACGGAGTTCATAGCGAAAGACATGATGCCCATTAATATAATGACCAAGCCTGAGTTTACAGCTTTGGTAAACACAGTGGATAAGTGGTACAGAACGCACTCGCGCACACATTTTAGCCAAGTTGCTGTCCTGGAGCTACACAAAAAAAAGCAGAAACAGAGGAGTTTTTTGCAACTGAAACAGATTTATTGCTTGTGTTCATTGAAAAATACATGAGAAGAAGGCATTGAAAAATAACTGCATATTAAAACGCAATAACGAGGTTAAAAAAAAAAAATCGCAATTAGAATATTTTCCAAAATCGTTCAGCCCTAATTTATGCTTGTTTGTGTGTGAACAGGAAGTGCAAGCAGAACTGAAAATCAGTTGTTGTTTTTTTAAAAATCTGGAGTAATGTGGACAGGGCATAAAGAAGAACCTGCTACATTTTCTTACTAAATACTCAGTAAAGTCTTTTTTTAAATAAAAAGTCTATATTGGACAGAAGTTGCAGCTGTTTTCACTGATAGTATCAACAGTTTGATTTGTTTTTAGTCCAGTCATGAGAATAAAATGATGACATTTAGAGTGTTACACTACATATTTGAATGGTCTTCCACTGAACAAAGCACCACAAGAACATACAAGTTGTGTCAGGCCGTAGTTTTAGACAAAACATGATTTATTCCCTGGTTGTTTTTATTCTTAACCAGAGACATTGATGCTGATAAAACTAGCTTCACGAAGACTCATAATACATGATAAACTTTTCTCAGCCAATCATAAATTCACATCTTTACTTGTACTTTACACATCAAATGTGTCATTGTCTCAGAAAGTAAATGAACAAATAATTAAAAAAAAATCTACAGGAACAAAAGGAAGTGATGGTAGCAGGAAAGCCACACGACTAGTTCAAGGGTCCTTTGACGTATTCTTTGACTTTTCATGCGGATTTATTAAATTTACTTTCAGTCTTGGTTTGCACTAACAACAGTTGGTGAGACATCACCAAGATTTTGGAAATTGCAAATATTGTTACTCCGGTGCTTTTGTTGGAATGAATTAATTTTGATCCTTTCAGTGAAACAGATGTGTTGTCACCACCGACGGGACTCATCACCCTGGAAACCAAACAGACTGCTGGAACAATACGGTGAGATAAACACAAATTCATTGCATACTTCCATCAACGAAGGACACGCTCGCTGCTTTGTGTGGCACCCGTACAGATTTTTTACAAGTTATGTCATTCCACCAGAAGTTATTCTCATTTCTCACATTTTTGTGGAACCAGGTCTTTAATAAAAACACAAATCCATCTCGGATTCAAACCCTTATTTTAGAAGCTATACTTACAGTGTTTCTCTTTTCTTGGCTTATGGTGAGTTGTTTGGAGATTTGAAGATTCTTGAATAACCCCAATCTCAAAATCCAATAATGCTTGTGTTTAATTTACTGCCGCTGATATGCGTGTCATTAAACCAGTCACAGAAAACACTGTTCCATCTCCATGTTGCTTCAGTGTTTGGACGTAACGGTGACAGAGAAATACATTTTAATCTGCTCTTATTATTAAACTGGTCACTGAGCACAACACTTAATAAGTTCTACTGGACCAGTAACTAGAAAGCGGTTTGGTTTGGTGTGACATTACTCCCAATTCTGGTTTCTGATTCTTTTTTTAAAGGACTCTTGTTTCCTATTAAACCCTGAGTTGTAACAAACTAGCTGCTTCTGTCAATCATTCTAATATCTGTTAATAAACAAGTCTAGAAACGCAGATTTTGATTTTTCCTATAGGCTGACCAGATCTTGAACAACCCACTGTGGGACCAAAAGGACACTTACGGGACAACGTGGGACACATCACCAGTGCTGTCATGACGTCATCACTTGTAATTTATTGTAGCTCTTACATTACATTTATCAGTCTCTGCTTTGGCTGTTAGTGCACAACAGTGATTTATAAAAAAACATGTTAGGACAAAAGCTTAAAAATTTTTTTTAACACTTTTTAAAGTTTATCAGAAAAAGCTTATTTTGACAAACTTCTTTAAAGATGAACTGATCATCGTCATCCATCATCCATTCATCATCCATCCATCATCCATTTATCATTCATCCATTCATTCATCATCCATCCATCATCCATTCGTTCATCCATCCATATATTCATCATCCATCCATTTATCCATCATCCATCCATCCATCCATCCATCCATCCATTCATCCATCCATCCATCCATCCATCCATCCATTCTTCTATCCATCTGTCCATCATCCATCATTCACCCATCCAGCCATCCATCCATCCATTCATCCATCCATCCATTCTTCCATCCATCATCCATCTGTCCATCATTCATCCATCCATCCATCCATCCATCCGTCCGTCCGTCCGTCCGTCCGTCCGTCCGTCCATCCATCCATCCATCCATCCATCCATCCGTCCGTCCGTCCGTCCGTCCGTCCATCCATCCATCCATCCATCATCCATCCATTATTTTTACCCATGTTTTCCTTTTCGGGTCACATGGGTCACTGGTGCCCAAATCCAGCTATCACTGTGCAAGAGTGGGGGGCGGACACCCTGGACAGGTCTCCAGTCCATCACAGAGACACATAGAGACAAATGAGACAAACAACCGTTCACTCTCTCACTCACACCTAGGGACAATTTAGAGTTACCAATCAGACTAACATGCATGTTTTTGGTCTGTGGGAGGAAATCTCAGCTGCTGTTGCCTCATCTGTCTTCCAGTCAGCTTCATCATCATCTGACTGTCCCGCACATCTGGCCACCCAAACACCAAACTGAGACAGTCATGTTGGATTTAAAAAACAGTCGACAGCAGCTCATCGTTTTTTTTTTCTACAAGAACAAAACTTGTAATTTGACAATGAATTTACCATTTTTTGGAGGAACCATACCAAAGGGGAAATCTTTACAAACACTGTTACTTTGTACACAAAACATTGCACTGACACCCATTTAATAACTTTGGCACATAAACTAAGCCCGTAAACAATAAAAAATATAGCATATAGTACAATAAAAAAGCATCATAAGGCACCAAGATGTTGTAGATATACTTTAAAAAGACTAAATACCATTTTGGCTTTAAACTCCTCCCACTGTTAACAAAAACAATTCCATTAGATACATATACACTTTAATAGGTTGTATAGCAATCAGTTATATTCCTGCTAATCCCTCCTGTTTCTGATTGAAGCAAAGCATGTTGCTGTGCCTCATTCAAGCACTGTACCAGGCTCTACAACTGGGCACAGTGTGTGTGTGAGTATGTGTCTGAATGAATGAACAGTGCTCCACTGTCCTACAACAATAAGAGTGACTGCATGTGTTCAGGAACACTGTCAGTGTGTGTGTGTCTAATTTACATAGATGCAATCCCACCTTATGACACACATTTTTACACAGGACAGATAAAGAGCCTCCGTTCAGCATATGCCGATGATAATACGTTCTAAATCTGCAATTCCACTGCCGTGTTTACGCCCCGCATATTACTTCCTGTTTATCATCAGATACTAGAAGCATGTGACGTGTACAGTCAGCCAGGCAGGCAGTCAGTGGTTCAGACCAAGTGGTTTGGCCTAGTGGGGAGCTGCGGGGCGGACAATGGTCGCACTGTGTAAGTGAAGTGCCTTTGGTGTCCATGACTCTGTCAGCTACTGAGACTGGCTGATCCAAAATGGCGGAGAGCAGAGAGCCCCGCTGGTGATTGTCATGGTTTAAACGGGGCAATTTTGATCCCGTTTGGACGCAGAACCGGTGCAGCTGTGCCTAATCCACTGGCATTGTGTATGGGAAGGGTATGAGGAAAAAAGGGGGGAGAAGTGGGGGCAGGAGAGCAGGCTGGTGGGAGAAGTTCAGATAAAGTCTCTTTTGTCTTCTTGGTCCTCCAAGTGCAGTTCGCCTCACTGATATGTGTATCAAAGGTGTCTGACGTTACAGTCTGTAATTTTAAAAAGGAAACAAAAGGTTATCCACAATAATTTAGCTTTTTTTGTACCAGTGAAGAAAAATAATTTACAAGATCCAAAAGTGAGCAGCGCACAACCTGAGCAGCAGGTCTAGAAAAGAGCAGCAGCTAGAAACAACAAGACACGTCATCGAACTCACTGAGATGGAAGTCACACAGCTGTCGAGGGAGAGTGAGTCTGGGGAAGAAACAAACGTCTCGTTTTTAAGTCTTGTACGATTCAAAGTGCATTCACACCAAAAGCATGCGCATGCAACAATCCTCGACCTGTTGTTGAATCTGTGCGTATCGCTGTCTGCGTGTTTGCCCTTATCTGTTCAGGCTGCATGTGTCCGTCTGTCTGTCAATCTGTTCCCGGCACAGTCTGTTTACCAATCTGTCAGATTCTGCTCGCTACATAAAGAGACTGAGGGAATGTGTGTGTGTTTGGACAGTGTGTGTGTGCAAATAGTGAAAATGTATTTCACATATTTCACAGTGTCTGAGCTGCTGCTTGCGTACAGCTGAAGAGAAGCATCATGTTTCTTTACAAACATAGTTTTTCTGTATTGTTTGAGGGCCACCTTTTATTATATACATCACCTCAGGGAGATGGAATTAGTTTTTATAATGTCACCACTAATTGGACATATGTTTGATGCAAATGGATGACATTTTCATCTCAACTCCAAACTTTTTTTTTTTTTTTGCAAACAAACAGTTTTATATATGAGAACCAAGAAGTCTTTGGGAGTGAAATTATAAAAAGTGCAGCGGCCCAGATGGACCCAATCATTAAGAAATTGAATTTTATTTTAATCATTGTTACAAAATAAAGATGAATAATCCATTATTGATTCTGTGCATATAACAATGCATTATGAGCTTGTTTCTGTGGTTCCTGTCTGAGTGAGGCATATTGGAAAAAAATACATACTGGTAATAAGAAAGTTTTGTAAACTAAAAAAGTAGCTGAGCAGAAAGACAAAGCATTTGGTTATAGGCTCTCTATGTGCCAACCCTCAACTGAGGCACAGCCAGAACCTGCTGGAGGAACTATATACGGTATGCTCTCTGGTATGGGAATGCCTTGGGGTCTCCCAGGAGGAGCTGGAGAGTGTCACTGGGGAGAGGTATGCCTGCTTGGGGTTTTTCTTCTTGGCCTGTTGTCTCTGCAGTCCAGTGAAGGATAAGCATGTACATTTTAATGGATGGATGGATGATTGAATGGATGGATGATGGATGATTGAATGGATGGATGATGGATAGATGATGGATGGATAGATGATGGTTGGTTAGATGGATAGATGGATGATGGATGGATCGATGATGGATCAGTGTATGGATGGATGTATGAATGGATGATGGACAAATGGGTG